AAGTGATCTATTACTCTTAAAAATTATGTAATAATATGTAATAATTCATAAAATATGTAAGGCCTAAAAAATACATAAAAAATTACATTGCCCATCCCTAATTTTAAACCAAGAATTCGGTATCCAAACATTGAACCCGATTTAGGTTCAATTTCTGGATACACGACCTAAAATTTGGATCAGTGTAACCGGGAACCGGGCATTTTCAAAAATTTCGTAGTGTAAGACTTGAAAGGCTTTCACCTCGCTCCCCTCAGCTCCAGCCAATTAAACAAAACTTCGCTAATTGCATATAAATTAAATTATTAGAAAGTGAGTATCAAATTAATTTATAAATTAAAAAATTAAAAATAAACAAAACTTCGCTAATTGTATATAAATTATTAGGGCGTGAGTATGAAATTAATTTATAAATTAAAAAATTAAAAATAAACAAAGCTTCGCTAATTGAATATAAATTAAATTATTAGTTGGTGAGTATAAAATTAATTTATAAATTAAATACTTTAAAATTAAACAAAACTTCGCTAATTGCATATAAATTAAATTATTAGAACGTAAGTATGAAATTAATTTATAACTTAAAATTAAACAAAGCTATACTAATAAATTATATATAAATAATTAGTGTTAGATCGTGAGTATGAAATTAATTTATAAATTAAAAACTTTAAATTAAACAAAGCTGTACTAATAGATTATATTATATGTGACGGCTGATGCTGATTTTGGCTAGAAATCTTATTTACAATTAAGCATCTTTAATCAATTATCTACAAATTTAACTATAGTCTGTAAATATAATTAATTTATAGTATGTAGTTTATATATTTATATATGTATCAGTATACTAAATTTATTTTATAGGGTTTAAGTTATAAATGTGGGTCATTAATATTTAATTTGTGTTACGCAGTAACACAATTAAATATACCCCAACAGGCCATATGAAAATCCACTAAAATTTTAATTGTAACTATATATCAAATAATATATTTATAAAATAAGGTTATAATTATTTTTTGAATGTTTAGTTCTAATTTTGACATACTTTAATTGACGTAACTAGTGTTGCGGCGAAACCCAAAAAAGAAAATTATAACAATGCAATTGATTATTAATTATTGTCATAATTTCCTTTTTGGGTTTCGCCCGCAACACTAACCGTAACGGTAACTACTATTTTTTCTCGTTAGTATAAGGCCGCTCCAATTGAATTCAGTGTTTTACATTACCCCCCCACCTCCTGTTATTCCTCCCCCCTCTCTCTTAATAAAAATAAATTTTGTATATATAGAAACCCATTGAGAAAGATTCGAAACTCTTGGAAAATTTTTGGCAATATAATTTAAAATTTACTATATAACTATATGCAATATAGTGTGAATAATAGTAATAAAGCTTTCATTAGTGTTAGAATTATAAACCAATAACTCTTCGATTATTAGAATTTGATTTATGTAAACCAGGATTTTAATATAAAAAAAAACACCAAATTAAAATATAGTAGCCTTAATTATGTGCGAATCAAATATAATTCTTTATTAAAAGCTTTATTCTAACATAGTAATTATCAAATATAAATTTAAGGACTTAATGATCTTTTTTTATGCTTATTTGACTTTTGACCAACCTTAATTTCTAAGCGTGTAAAGTGATTTTTTTCTAATTCTTTACACAATTCACAACATGGATAAACTATTTTAAACTGTGCAATTAATGAATTCGGTATATCAGATAAACCTTCTATTGCACCACACCAATAACAAAGCCGAACATTATCTCCTTGCTTATAGGCATAATAGTTTAACTCTATAGGTGAGTCACAAGAAATAAGTTCTCGAACAAAGATAATATTATATAATAAATGTTTATCATCTAAAATTGGTCCTCCACAAGTATATAAGTATTTCTTGCCATTGCAATTCCCATTATCATTAAGTGGATTTTGGCTATAGAGACAGCGCCACTTTCCACAAACAGTGCATTCTACCTATACATGGGTGCCTAAATTGCCCATCTTAATAAAAAGGTAATTACGGCATTTAGGCAGCCGAAATTAGTCTTATATAGTGCCGAAATTAATTTTCATATTTGCCGAAATTATTGCCGAAATTTTTTGAACTCTTTTCATCAAAATACATCATATAATATAGTTATTTCGAAGGCTTCATATAAAAAATTTAGCAATGCCGAAATATTTGCCGAAAATACGATTTTTCAAAAATAATTTAGGCACCCATGTATAATTCTACCCATCCACAGATATTTTTATATATATAAAGACCATTAGACCCACGCTCTTGGCCTTCATGAGTTAGTACTAGTGATGGACGATGATTTTTATTAGTTTCACTTCTATATATATCATGAAATAATGAATAATGATTTGAATCTAAAATTTAACCATATTATTAATATTATTTAAAAGTGTTAATTTAATATATAATTTAGTTTTTATAAAAAGCATTCAACACATTCTGACGGTAAAAACTCAGAGATCTCAATAAAATCATAAACATCTTTTTTTGCAAGATTTTCTTCTAAATTTTTATATTTTGAATTAATATTTAAACTACCAGAAATTATTTTAAGTGTACTATGCTTGTTAGGTGAACGAACTACTTCAGTAGAATTATGTGAATTGATAGTAAGTTGAGCAGATTTTTGTAAATGTTCTGCATACTTTCTCATCATTGTAACAAAACTAAAAATTTTTGGAATAATTTCATTCCAGCATTTGCTACTTGCCCAAATTTCACTAGCGCTATATTCTAATGATCTAATAATTTTTGTTGAGAAAGGTTTTCTTTTTTATGATGGGATGTAAAATAAAATATGTTATATGTAGAACCTTCTTTGTAGGTTTTTAATTGTTGAAATAAAGAGGGCAGATGACATGCACGATCTCGAAGTAATTTTATATGTGGATCAACATACCAAATAGCATTGGACAAACGTTCTAAAAATATTTTGCTTCTTGTATTTTGAAGCCCAGCAGACCAACCTCCACCTTTTTCCTTAAAAAGATCTATAAGATCATTATATAAACGATCATGACTATTTCCTCGAACAAGTTTGTTAGGAAAGTATAGTTGCTTAGTATTATTCATTAATACTAAACTAGCATTTTGCAATTCAGGTAATATAATTTCCTGTGATTTGTCTAGTTCAATCAAAAATCTAACCATTTTAAAATTTAATTGAACTAGTGCTTGTAAATAATCTGTTAATCCATCCTGCAATTTTGTCCATTTATCTTTTTTTTTTTCATGCCCAAAAACTTGAATATGTTTCTTTGAAAATTGATCACTTGCGACTTCAAAGAGTAAATCTTTAAAAGTTCCAACATCGATAATATGAGCTATATTAATTGCTGCTTCATACAAAACCTTAGGAGGTTCTCCAATAAGTACATGAACATAATGCATAGTAAGTTTTGATCTGCAAAGAATAAGTCGGAGAAAAATTTAAGTAAACGTTCTTAATATTAACCTAATATAGAATAGCACATGCATTTAATAAATAATACTAATATGTACAAGTAATATTTACTAATTACAGAGAAATTACTTCAGACCATCTTTTGAAAGTATATGAGTATTGTAAAGAGAAACCTATAAGTCACATTTTTATAACTTTGATAGTTTTCATCTTATGAAATTCAGGTTCTGCGCTACTATATTTAATTCTACATAATATTATTCGGAAATTAAATTCTATTATGTAAAAAATATTAAAGGCATGAAAATGTGACTTATAGATTTTCTCATTAAAGTGCTTATAAAAAACAACGCAAATTGATAAATATTAATATGCAAATTAGCAATGCAGTATGTATAGTGACTTATAATATAATTGATACTTTGATTATAATTTTTACATTAAATTATTTGCATTTTCAAAAGTACTGTATATATATATTAAAGTATAATATCATGTAATTTATCATAAAATTGATCAATTCTATTTTTAATAATTTATATTTTAGAATATCTATATATATCCCCCCTCCCCATCCCTCCCAAGAGAGAGGGGGGTAATGTAAAACACTGAATCCGATTTGAGCGGTCTAAGTTACTCGAACCCTGTGCTACGAATTCACGTGTTACTAAAAACTATGTGACACATATCAATTTTATTAACATCAAAACATTATCGAAAAGTAGATATGCTAATTGTAAAAATATTATTCAACTTTAAGGCTGTTATGCATCAAACTAAAACTCGCGTCAGATCAAAATTTATTCAATACGAATCTTATGGGTCGATTCACGTGACCTCATCTCTGCCTTAACATTGGCAGAGATAAGGTCTCGTGATCAATATTTCCGTATAATGAATGAAAGCTATTGTTCACTATAATGAATGAAAGCTATTGTTCACTACAAATCCAATCGATAGATTTTGATAATGAAGAACAAGTAAAAAGTAAAGACTATCAAACTGACGCATCTAGTCTATTAAATTATACTCTCATTGGGATGAATCAAGAGATCGATTTTACTAATGAACAAGTAATAAGTTTGAAGGTTAAAAATTATTTAAATAATTGTAGACATTTTCTGTTATTGATTTGATATTGGCTTGCACAGGAGATGGTGGAGGTTGAGGTTGAGTAGTGAGCTGTATAGGTGGAGGTTTTTGATATTCAACGTGTCCAATACCGTGAGTACTATTAACAATACCATGAGTACCATTAACATGTCCAATACCGTGAGTACTATTAACATGAGGCAACATGTCTTGAGCCATAATGGTGTAAATTTTATTTATTAAAAATTTTACATTTTGTCTGTGTGAAGAAAATTTCACAAATACCGTATTTTTAAGTGTGCACATATAATGATATTTTTAATGAATCAGTAATTTAAAATATTTTAAATTGTCACATAAAAGATTGTGGAAAAACATGTTCTGTACGTATCGGTATCTTGTATATGGTAGTACAAACATACATTAATCAATTTTTTCAAATATCAATTTGCGAGCATGTATGCCCGCAATTTCAAATTTGAATGATAACATCATAGCCAGGACCTAATCATGAAATTTGGTCGCGAAATTTTGTTATTGTTATCATTATCATTATAAACATTTAGAACTTACTCTTTTCTACTGCAGAACTGGAAAATGAAT